AAAGAAAAAGAAAAAGGGTTTCCATCATGTTTATAATCCTGAAGGCAAGCATGGCCTGGAAAGCTGACAGTGCCTTTGTGAAAAAAACTACTCCAATCTGGAGGTAGCTCTTAGATCAGCTGCTCAGTTGTCCTGAGAATTCCCTTTACTTCTCTTCTGTGCTAAATTCCCTATTTCTTTGATAGTACATAAGTTTGGTAAATGGCAAACTCTGTTGCTAATTAAGTACAAGTGCACAGGAGATAATTTTGAGTCTTTGCATGTATGAAAATGTTATTATACTACCCTTGCACTTAAATGATAGTTTTGCTGGGTATAGAATTCTATACTGAAGTAATTTCCTTTCAAATTTTGAAGGTATTGTTTTATAGTCTTCTTATTTATAGTGTCTCCTGCAAAGCTATTTGCTATTACAGTCTTGATTCATTGTATGGAAATTTGTTTGTTTCTCCTCTCTGAAAGCTTTTAGGATATTTTCTGGGTTTCTGATTTTTCACAAAGATGTGTGTTGGTATGAATTATTTTACAAGTATTATAATGGATACTTTCAATCTATGAACTAATTTCCTTCAGTTAAACAAACTTTCCTTGTATTATTCTGTTGATATTTTTCTACCATTATATTTTTTCTTTTCTCTCTTTATGGAATTCCACTTATTTGCATGTTGAACCTCTGGGACTGATCCTCTATTTTCCTATCTTTTCTCTCCCATTTTCAAGTTCCTTGTCTTCCTCTCATCCCCCTGCCTAAAGAATTTCCTTAGCTCTTTCAACTCAAATAATAAATTACTTTTAAATTTAATTTTTAATTTCTAGGACTCTTGTATTTTCTATTATACCCTTTAAATAACTCCCTGTCCTTGTTTCAAGAATGCATTATCTCCTTTTAGTTCTTTAGAGCTATTAAATATAGTATTTTTAAATTCTCATCTGGTCTCTGTATTATCTGTTTCCTCTTTTCCTCTGAGTTTGTTACTTAATTTTTTTAAATAAACTTTATTTTTAAGAACAGTTTTAAGTTCACAGCAAAATTGAGTAGAAAGTATGGGGAGTTCCCACATCCCCCCTAATCCCAGACATGCCCAACCTCCACCACCATCAACATTCCCCACTAGAGTGGTACATTTGTTACAACTGATGAGTCTACACTGACACGTCATTACCCAAAGTCCATAGAGTTTACTTTTGGTGTTGTACATTCTATGGGTTTTGACAAGTAAATAATGACATGTATCCTTTACTATAGTGTAATACGATAGTTTCACTGCCCCCAACATTCCCTGTGCTCTACCTATTCATTTCTCTTTCTCTTCTAGCCCCTGGCAACTACTGGACTTTTCACTGTCTCCATAGTTCTATCTTTTCTAGAATATCATATCATTGGCCATTTTTTAAAAACTAGGCTCCACACTCAACATGGGGCTTGAACTCATAAGCTCAAGATCAAGAGTTGCATGGTCTACCAACTGAGCCAGCCAGGTGTTCCAAGAATATCAAATAGAGGGAATTGTATAGGATGTAGCCTTTTCAGATTGGCTACTTTCACTTAGCAGTATGCATCAAAGGTTCCTCCATATCTTTTCATTGCCTGATAGTTCATTCCTTTTTAGCACTGAATAACATTTCATTGAATGGACCACACAATCCATTCATGTACTGAAGGACAACTGGTTACTTCTAAGTTCTGGCTATTATGAATAAAACTGCTATAAACATCATGTGCAGGTTTTTGTGTCAACATAAGTTTTCAATTCATTTAGGTATATACCAAGTGGTACAATTACTGGATCAAATGGTAGCCTCTACACCTTTTCATCATGGTCTTCATATGTTGTGTCAATATTTTACCTTCAAATGTATAGAATGGATACTTCCTCACATTTGGAGCTTCCATTTGGAGTATGAAGGGAAAAAATGAGTTCACCGTAACTCTAAGACTTTTGGCCTAAGCAACTAGAAAGAAGATGCTATCATCTACTTAGATGAGAAAACAGTGGAAGGTATAGATTGGCATTTGCAAAAACAGACAGTTTGGTCAATTTGAGACATACAGTAGTATCCAAGTGGAGATGTCATGGAGGCAGTTGTATAGGAGACTGAAATTCAGGGGAAGAGATCCAGGCTAAGAATATAAATTTTAGGGTCACCATGAGCCCTAGAGTGAGTTCAAAAGAAAAGAGATCATGGGTGCCTGGATGGCTCAGTTGGTTAAGTGTCTGACTTAGGCTCAGGTCATGATCTCTTGGTCCGTGAGTTCAAGCCCTGCGTCAGGATCTGTGTTGACAGCTCAGAGTCTGGAGCCTGCTTCAGATTCTGGGTCTCCCTCTCTCTCTGCCCTTCACCTGCTCATGCTCTGTCCTGGCATGGTAAGTTCTACAACTGTCATTCCTTCTTGCTTAGAGTGATATGGAGATCAGAGGAGGGGACCTATGGGTTTATTCCCTGAGCAGATAAGTTTCCCCAAAGAATCACAATACGCCACTGTTTCTGAGGCAGAAGTGTGTACATCTTGCAATCTTCAAGGGTTCTGCATCAGTGAGAACTCATAATAAAAGCTAGCACTGACCAAGGACTTGGCATTTTATATACATTATTGTATTTCATTCTCACAATAATCCCAAAGGAAAGCATTATCATTATCATTTTACAGATGATAAACTAAGGCTACAGAGATTAAGGTACCTTATATGCTACCTCAGTTCCCCAAAAAAGTCTTCATAGACCTCAAACCCTATATATAATCCAAAACAGCAGAATTTCATGTGAAGAAATCCTTTACTTTTATAAAGATGAAAATTTCTCTCGCACTCCAGGCAAATAAATGAAGAATTTATTTTGTAAAGATTTACGACAGCCCTTTCTCTGACCAATGAATCTGATCTGAGCATAATACTCCTTAATGATGGTCCAAAACACTGAGAAGAAAATTTAGCTACATGTTATTCTCCAGTCTTTTATGTGTGTATGTGTGTATTAATAAAAAAAAAAAAAAAAAGCCTACCTCCATAGAGAATTTTACAACGACTGAAGGAATTCAATCAATGAAAGACAGGTGCATCAATGCATATGAAGAACCATGAAGAAGCTAGTTCATGGACCAAGTAAGCTACAAAAATGAAGGAAAAAAGAAAAGAGAGAAGGAAACAGGTTTTCAGTTTCATATGCCCTAAAGTTACAGAAAAGAACAACAGACAGTGTCAGAATTTTGAAGTTAAATATAGATGAAGTGAAGGAGAAAAAAAATCAGCAGTACTCAGAAATCTAAATTGAATATTATTTCCAAATAAGTGAAATTAATAAAGTGTAATGAAGACATAATTGCCACAGTTGACTAACATATTACTCTTTCAGTAGAATCCATAACAAAAAAATAAAATAACCCTATTAAGATGTTAAAAACTAAAAAAATTAAAAACTAACAATTAGGTAAATAAATCTTTTCACACAGAGAAGAAAAATTTTAAAATAGGTCATTAAAATTCCAGTCAAGTTCAGCAGGATTTACAATGACACTTATTTAGTGCTATTATTTCTGAATTTGGGATGCTTTATGAATAACTTGTATTTTCAGATTAATATTGCATTTTCCTGGTCTTTTTATCTGTCTGCACCGTCCCCAATACCCTTGAAAGAAAGGCACACATTTGCAGGTTGGATGGCCAAAGGCACTGATACAAATTATAGCTGTGGAACTTAAACCAGTTTTGCAGAAGAATCACCTGGAGGACTTTTAAAAACATATTTCTAAGTCCCACCTCAGATTCTTGGACTTAGAAGCCCCGTGGTTTGTAAATCACTTACAAAAGGATCTGCAGATATGTCTGCTGCATAGACGGACGAAATAGAGTAGAGTTGTGGATTTAGGACTATGCTTGGAAGAGTCTTAAAATTCTCAAGAAATACCTTTGGGCTTCTCTCACCTGTTCCAGCCAGAATAATCCCACTGTCTATTTCATGTATCTATTTTGCTTCTTAAAGTCTGAAAACAACAAAACCTGATAGAGCACAGTGAATTCACTCACATAAGAATTCAACTTATGATGGGGCACCTGGGTGGCTCAGTAGGTTAAGTGTCTGACTCTTGATTTCTGCTCAGGTCATGATCTTGCCATTTGTGGGTTCAAACCCCATGCCGGGTTCTGTGCTGACAGCTCAGAGACTGGAGCCTGTTTCAGATTCTGTGTCTCCCTCTCTCTCTGCCCCTCCCCCATTAGCACTCTGTCTCTGTCTCTCTCTCAAAAATAAATAAACATTAAAAAAAAGAAGAAGAATTAAACTCATGATCTGGCATCAAAACTGACCTAATCCAAACATAAAAGAGACTAGACAGATAAAAAGACCAGGATTGATGGATACAGAATATTTGTTAATGCCAAAAGAAAAGCCTTATTAAAGCAGTTCTGTAATTCATATACTTTTACTTATTGCAACTGAAAAGAACTTAATACATGAATGAATTACAGTCCAAATGGAAAAATATGTATAAATATCTATTCTGTTTTAATTGCATATAAATCTGTCATTTTCAAAAAGACTATCTTATTCCAGACTTGCAACTGAAAATATACAACAATCTAAATAAATGCAAGGTTTAGTGACCTTGCCTCCTACGGAGACAAGAGTAGATCTAGAGAGGCGTTCTCCTTGGGGAAATAGTCACCCTAAGAGAAAACAATCAGAATGAACACCTGTCCACTGCTTCCCCATAGTATAAGGTTTGGATCCTTTGAACACTTTTCAGGTGTCTCCACTAATCTACCCTAACCTAGAAAACTATGCTGTGTGCTATAGAGAAAGGGAGGTAAGTTTCTTCCTTCCATTCTGTCCTTGGATACTTCCGTAGGACTGGGTATCTTGGTCTTTTGAAATTCTCCATTTCAACCACCCTATCTAATAATAATGCATGCCTACTGGAAATTAAATTTGAGACATCGAATCCTGTATGTGGTTCCCATCTCAAGGAGCTGCTTCAACAAATGACTCAGAGTATTTTTACTCACCTGTCTGAATACACATACTTAGCAGGAGGTGAACTGAGTAGGAAGCCAGGAGAGCAACTATCAGCAGCAAGAAACTAAAATATAAAAGAGGACATGGTCAAACCCCACACAAGTTTCTTTTCTGAGGTATCTCTTTAAAAAACCATTTTTTTTTCACATTCAAAGGTTCACAGGGATGATCTTAGAGTTGGATTGTGGCCACTAAAGAAAGAAAATATTATTTTGCATTTACTGAATTTTATTTAAATGAAAATATACTGCTTTTAAATTTTAAAAAGTCATAAAGAGGGGCGCCTGGGTGGCGCAGTCGGTTAAGCATCCGACTTCAGCCAGGTCACGATCTCGCGGTCCGGGAGTTCGAGCCCCGCGTCAGGCTCTGGGCTGACGGCTCAGAGCCTGGAGCCTGTTTCCGATTCTGTGTCTCCCTCTCTCTCTGCCCCTCCCCCGTTCATGCTCTGTCTCTCTCTGTCCCAAAAAAAATAAATAAACGTTGAAAAAAAATTTTTTTTTAAATAAAAATAAAAATAAAAAATTAGAAAGAAACCAACTTTATTTGAAACAAAAACAAATTTCCTCCTTCGGCACTCTTGTCTGCTGACTGCTGGTTCAGCCATTCAGTGATCTTGCAATACTTCCCTTTTATAACTATTTCTTCCTATTTTAAATCCAAACAGAGGTTTTGGTTGTGGAATCTCATTGTCTTTTTTTTTCTTTTTCCTTTTTTTCTTTTTTTAATGTTTGTTTATTTTGAGAGAGACACGGAGTGTGAGTGGGGGAGGGGCAGTGAGAGAGGGAGACACAGACTCTGAAGCAGGCTCCAGGCTCTGAGCTGTCAGCACAGAGCCCGACGCGGGGCTCAGACCCACGAGCTAAGAGATCAAGACCGGAGCCGAAGTCGGATGCTCAACCGACTGAGCCACCCGGGCGCCCCGTCATTGTCTTCTTTTTCCTTCCCTCTGTCTCTTCTCTTCCAAAGATTGTACCCCACCTTCATCTATAAAACTGAATTAAGACTGCATTTCCTAGCATTAAACACACACATCCACCAAACCCAACAAATGCAGTTAACACAGTTGATGTGTTCATGACACAATTTGAAAAGGTGCAGACGATGTAATAATTGGGATTCTTTTACTGAAAGTGGTAAAAGAGACAACATGCATAATTTCCTACTTATTTTCAGGAAGATACTAACAAACAAGCTTCTAGAAAGCTGGCTCTAGTGGAGTACCCCAAAAGTTACTTTTGGCCCACTTAATACTTGTTATTAAGTAGCAAAACTGAGAGGTACACTTGAAGCCTCACAAAATAACAGTCTGGTATCACTAAATGGCAAATGTGATATGATTCAATGAGGGCATGTTCCGTGGTATACATCTGCATGTAAGACCCTGGAGTACAAGATGTGATTTTTTTCAAAGGGAACCCAAAATAAGTCCTATAATTATGTCTTGCCTAAGATGTCACATACAGTTTTGAAGTTTTAAAACTCTGAATGTTTGTTAAGAAACGAGACAAACCAGAGAGAGAGAGAGAGAGAGAAATCAAAAATGGACTCTTAATTATAGAGAACAAACTGTTACCAGAGGGGAGGCGGTAGGCATTGGGTGAGACAGGTGATGGGGAAAAAGGAGCATTTTGTTGTGATGAGCACCGGGTGTTGTAAAGGAAGTGTTGAATCACTGCAATATAGTGATAACACCGTATATTAACTGGAAATAAAATAAAAACTCAAAAAATTATGAGGGGCACCTGGCTGTCTCAGTACAACATGCAACTCTTAATCTCGGGGTGGGGGGGGGGTTAGTTTAAGCCCTACTTAGGCGTGGATCCTACTTAAAAAAAATTTTTTTATTTAAAAAAAATTATGGGGGTGCCTGGGTGAGTTGAAGCGACCGACTTCAACTCAGGTCATGATTTCATGGTTTGTGACTTCAAGCCCCGTGTCCGGCTCTGTGCTGACAGCTCAGAGCCTGGAGCCCACTTTGGATTCTGTATCTCCCTTTCTCTCTGCTCCTTCCCTGCTCATGCTCTATCTCTCGCCTTCGAAAATAATAAACATTCAAAAAAAATTTTTTTAATAAAAAAATTATGAAAGTTTGTGCATATATCTCATTATAAAAGGAAGTTGGGTTACCTAAAAGTTGGTTCGCTTATCAAGAAATTCAAAATAAAAGCAGAAAATAAACCTAAATGAGACTATTCATTTTAAATTTCCTGGTAAAATGGGTCTGCTTCTACTGATAAACAAACTTGCTAAATGCTAAGGATTAGGTCTAGTTCTAAACGATTTCAGTTTAGCAGAGAAACTAACTTGCAAACAAATCATTACAACACATTATAATAACAGAATGAATAGACAAGTACTATGGAAACACAGAAAAGCCAAGAATGTCTCCTATTTTGAGCCAACTGGCATATGAGTTGAGTCTAGATGAAAAGGAATAGGCACAGAACACATGCCTAGACTCAGGGAAATAAGACTACCTAACAGCTGGAGGACAGGAGATGATGGAGAGAAATGAAAAGATTATGTGTTTTCCACTCACAAAATTGTTATTTGTAAGTAATCTGATAGCTGATAAACTTTAATTCACGTTGGCCAACGTGACACAACAACAGCCACTTCTTAATGTTATCATAAACAAGCATGGGTCAAGTTTCCATTTTTAAAAATTAGTCCCACTTTTGGATAAAAAATACAAATTATATAGCATCCCTCCAAACTACAGAGTAGCAATAATATATAAGTAGCAGGAAAATGCTAAACCTCCAGAAATGATTTAACTAGCAATTGTATAACGCCAGCTCTGGGGCCTCTTTGCTTCTCAGTGTACTATCAAAATGGGGGGGGGGGGGGAGAAATAAAGAAAAAAACTCACCTAAATCCAAGGATGCCAGTATGAGCCATAACATAAGCTAAACCAAGGATGCCACTTCCCATGATGGCATTTGTCAAATTAAACACAGAAAAACCAAATGAAACACCTGGGGATCCCTGTCTGTAAAGTTCCTGCAAGCACACAAATTTAACAGTGTTAAGTGTTTAGATGAAGTTCAGATTTCATCAAGAAATGAATGACAAGTTATGGAGAACTCCTGCAATCCACAGGCACTGTGTGACACTAATTTCTCAAGCAGCACTGGTTTCCTTTTTTCCCTTCCCACCTCCCACTAATGCAGTGCCAGAAAAATCTTGTTTCCTAGGAAGATCATCTCCACCAGTACAGAGGCCAGACAGGCTTCAGGAAAAACCATGACTAACCTTGTGACTGCAAAAGATGAAGATAGGATAGGAATGGGGTGGGACAGAGACGAGGGAGAGAAGGCCTCAGCTCATGTGATTACTGAAGAAATCCTGAGTCAGCTTGGGGCTCCTGTAGACAATGGTTACTCCCCAATTACTAGGACTGCAAAAGTAATCTCTGTATATTTAATGAATTCAGTCAGCTCAAATGCAAGGATGGTCGGGAATACCTTGCAATGACGATACAATAAACAGAAGCAATACACGTTGCTCTACCGAGGATACCCCTGAAACACCCTCTGCCAAAACAGCATTTGTGAGCGAAGTCCTAGAAACTGTTACAGTCCAGGGACTTGAGTTAAAAAGCCGAGGGCCCCCCTTACACAGGTTTTAGGGTCAGGGAAGTGCTATGTACTCATTACCAGGCCACCTCTACTCCTTCACCGCTAAGGAGCTCTGTATGAGGTTTCCAGGCACCCAATGACTAAGTCTAGGGAAGAAAAATCTCGTGACTCTGGCAAAAACCTCACAAGACTGTTGGAGGGAACAGGAAGTCGACAAAGACACTAACAGACAGCACTGAGTTACATAACGGCAGGGCTGCTCCTCCAGTCAGGTCCCCAGCCTCCAAATGGTGCTGCACCTCTTCCACCTGTGCCCGCGCCTTTACTTTCTCTCTAGGGCATGTTGCGCTGCAATCACATTCATGCACTCGCTGGGTCTCATCTGCGTCTGGCTCCTGCCTTTGGGCCCCATCCCCCAAGAGTCAGGCTCCAGGTTCTCCCTTCTCCCCGTGCAGCACCCGCACCTCCTTCTTTTCCAGGTCTCATCTGTCAGGCATTTCAGGAAAAAGGCCGGAGGCCTGCAGCACCCAGAAGCTTCCCGAGGAAACTTACGTTGCTTAGCAACGGGCTCAACTCTTCCGCCTCCGCCTCTTCGGACTGCTGGGCCGAGAGGTACCAGCTCCGCTCGGCGTTGCCGATCCCCCAGGGCGCCTCCATGCTGCTCGCTGGCCGACAACCAGGTCCATCTGCGAGCTCCTACCCCAGCCTTCCAGTCAATAGTCGCGCGGGAGGCGGGGCGGGGAGCCCGGCCCTTCCGGGTTCCCGTACCGACCGGGGCGGAGAAGAAAGAAGGGAATCGACGGGCTCTGATGACGCTCGCCCCTCCGTGGCGAACCGTGATGATGTCATCGAGGGCCAGCCCTTCCACGAGCGACTCTCTTACGAGCTGCACCAGAGCATGAGGTGAGGGGTCTAGACTTGGAGTCAACCGCCGAGCGGCGCCGGGAATTGGGATGGTGACGTTGGTGAAGTGGTGACCGCAGTGCCCCTGATCCGAGAGGCTGAGGGTCAGGTGGTAGTACCCGTCCTCCAAGGTCTGCTCTCCGCCACTCGCTTCTTGGCGCAGGTCGCGAGGTCACCCACCGCCCGGGTGCTGAGCTTGGGCCCTAGTACTGGGTGCGAAGGAATGTGTTTTATCTGTTCAGAAGCTTTCTGATCGAGCCTTTAGCCATATTTTACATGTGGGAAACCGAGACTCCGATTAAGAAATTAGGAGATCACGCAGCTGGGGAACTGCTAGACCAAACTTGAACCCTGACTGTGAAGTTTGAGAATTGCTTCACGGGGTTCTGGGGCAGGGTCCTCTCCCCTTCCAATTATTTCTTTGGTATTCTAGAAGGCAAAGTGAATATCTGATACTATTAATGGAATGGACATAGAACTCTGCAAAGCCCTAGTCCTCAAAATACTGAAACCTCAAGTTATAGACAGGACTTGGGGTAGTGAAGCATTAAAGACAAACAACATACCAATCAATATATTAAGAATACAGGCTCTGTAGTCAGTCAGACAGACCTGGTTTTTAATCCCTGCGCAGCCACTTACAGAAGCGAGACTGGATGAATTAACCTACTTCTGACCTTTAGTTTGTTCGTTTACAAAATAAAGATGTGATAACCACACACCTCCCAAGATAGATAATGTGTGTAAAGCATGTAGCACAGCCTCTGATGTAATAAGCACCCATAAGTATCCTAGTAAATATTGCCATTGGTAAAGTCATAAATATAATGACCATTTCATTTAGAGATGGATCGTTTAAGTCAAACGTCAGCCTTCCAATCCCAAACTTATTCTGTAGAAAATTGTGGGTGGAGAGGTTCATTGACTGTAGGGAGGCTGATGGGTCACTAAGCCCTTGTCCTGGCAGCAGATGGGTTAAGGTGCAAATTTATTATTTACTACTTTTATAAAAGACAACATATCATGGAAAAGATAGTATACTTCTCACACACCAGTCAGCATTTAGCATGTTATTTAAAACTATAGAATTTAGATTTTTTTATTCTTAACCTGTTGTGAACATGTAAGTTTGTATCTTCCTGTTTTTGTTTTTTTAAAGTGCATCCTTTTTTTTTTTTTTTTTTTTTTTTTTTTTTTTTTTTTTTTTTTTTTTTTTAGGAACTTATGGAGGCAATTTGGATTCTCAAGAATACTTTTCAAAGTGGAAACCTGTAGAATATCTGAATCAGAATCATTGGCTCCACTTGCTTGGACGTCACAGATACAGAAACTTAGCAGAGCACCTGGTATTTTCTTGCTGGATCAAAGGAGAAGATTCTCCACCATGACTGAAATAGAAACAAACCAGAGAGACTCTGAATTGTTTTCACCACCCTCTAATGTTCGAGGAATGACAAAACTTGATAGAACAGCTTTTAAAAAGACAGTCACCATCCCAGTACTTAAAGTGAGGAAAGAAATAGTCAATAAATTGATGCGATCCCTTAAAAGGGCAGCACTGCAGCGCCCAGGCATAAAACGTGTAATTGAAGATCCAGAAGATGAAGAAAGTAGACTAGTTATGTTGGATCCCTATAAAATATTTACTGATGGTTCCTTTGAGAGAGCAGAACTCAGTATTTTAAAGCAGCTTAATGTCAGTCCACAGATACATAAATATAATTTGGAACTCACTTATGAAAACTTTAAGTCAGAAGAAATCTTGAGAGCTGTGCTTCCTGAAGGTCAAGATGTGACTTCAGGATTTAGCAGAGTTGGACATATTGCCCACCTGAACCTTCGAGATCATCAACTACCTTTCAAGCATTTAATTGGTAGGTGTGTCTTAGTAATAATATTTATGTGCTAGAAAGTAATTAGGTTCTCATTTTAGTTCTTAAAATGACTTTCTTAAATGTCAAATTACAGAAGCAGGACATGTTACCATTTAATTTTAAGCTGCATCTTGAGCTACATACCCTCTCTTTTGAAAGCCATTTTGGAATACTCTCTCCAGAGTGATAGCAAACTCTAAAAATCAGTTCAGGCTTTTCTGTACACAATATACAAGCATAGATTAAACTCAAATTTTTTGCTTTGGCAGAATTCTTTGGCACCTCGTCATTTGGTACATAGGAGTTATTAGACCCTCAGGACTATGCTGAATTCTAGGTTTCTTAAATTTGAGTGTTTACCATCAAAAGTTCAAGACCCTGTTTATTCATGCTTTGATTCGACTGACTGAGCCTCTTCTATATGTCTGGCACCATACTTTGTTTTTTAGTGCCCTTAGTCATTTAGAAATGATGCTTCTGGGGACACTTGGGTCACTTGTCAGTTGAGCGTCCAACTTCGGCTCAGGTCATGATCTCATGGTTCATGAGTTCAAGCCCCGTGTCAGGCTCTGTGCGGACAGCTCAGAGCCTGGAGTCTGCTTCAGATTCTGTGTCTCCCTCTCTCTGCCCCTCTCTGGCTTGTGCTCCGTCTCTCTCTCTCAATCCCTCTCTCAAAAATAAACATTAAAAAAAAAATAATGTTTTTGTTTGTTGTATCTCTGTAAGCCCAAGTTTGAGCCTGGGTCCTTTATCCTTTGGGAGAAGAAAGAAGTAGAAGACTAATCAGGATTGCAGTTGTCTTTACACAAATATTTGATGTCCGTGTATTCTCCAGATTTTTTTTTTTTTCTTTTTAATGTAGAGTAATTGTCAGAACTTTTGAGAATTATTTTCACCTTTAACATGTTCTCAGGGCACCTGTGTGGCTCAGTTGGTTGACTGTCCAATTCTTGATTTCAGCTCAGGTCATGATCCCAAAGGTCGTGGGATCAAGCCCTCTGTCAGGTTCCATGCTGAACATGGAGCTTGCCTGGGATATTCTCTCTCTCTATTCTCTCTCTTTCTCTCTCTCCCTCTCCCTCTTTCTCTCTCTCTCTACCCCACCCTCCTCTCTCTCTTCCTACCCCTCTGCCCCACTCCCCAGCTTGCTTGCACTCTCATGCTTTAAATAAAATAAAATGTAGTTCTCAGTATTTTGTATGATTAGGATTTCAGAAATATGCTATTATGCATTTCCTTTGTTTTTACTGATGAAAGGGACTGATAATGCACAACGATAACACAATAAATAATTAAGCAGATCTTTATAATTATGCCTGGGTACAAATGGCAAAGATAAGCTTTGCTATGTATGAGTCATCGCCTGTCAGAACTCAAAACATCCCTTTTGGCATCCCTATTTTATTCAGGGCCCTCCTAGATTAAAAGTGAAGCATTTTCATCCAGTGGTAATTTTAAAGCTTTTGCTATAGACTTTCAGTTTGTTTTTTTTATTTCATTCCTCATTTCAAACTATTATACCTTAAAAATTGATTTCTGATACCTGAAGCAGAACAGGATAAGAATAATGATTGGCTAGAGTCATATTCAAAATCAGGTATCTAATTATCAAAAAGAAATTGGACAAATTCTGGTTATATATCAGCATGTTTGTATTATTGAGCACTTTTTACCAGCTTACAAATCAAGTTATCTTTCTTTATGCAATGACATGACATCTAGATTCTTACAATTTTTTTAAGCGCTAACAAAAAAGTAGACTTTAAGTAAAGGGCATCAATATACCATTTCTGGTGTATTTTATTTGTAGCTCTTTCTGCTCTGGCAAATATTTGACAAAAAGAACAATTTAATTAAATGAACATTTTACTTAGATAAGACTAAATAATCTGCTTCTTTTATTTGAAAACTTATTTTACTGGTATGTATTTCCAAAGTGGGGGCATCTTTTTTAAGTACATAGTAAAGCAGACATTTGATTAGGTCAGTGGGAACAGGCTGGTGATTTTAGAGATCATTTGTTGCAATGGTCCTTATACTTTTCCTTTCTGTTCTTTACCTTATGGTCTACTTTTTTGCTTATTGTTGTGTATTGGTCCGTTTGAGATTTAATTTAAAAAAAAAAAAAAGGAAAACTATTAGATAGACTGAAACTCCTCAAAAATTTTTCTTTAAAAATGTACCCCTATAGGGTGGCTGGGTGGCTCATTCGGTTGTGTCCAGCTCTTGATTTCAACTCACATCTTCATCTCACACTTTGTGAGTTTGAGCCCTACCTTTGCACTGTTAGTGCAGAGCCTGCTTAAGATTCTCTGCATCTCTCTCTGCCTCTCCACTGCTCATGCGCACACTAGCTCGCTTACTCTCTCTCTCTCTCAAAATAAATAAAAACTTGTGTACCCATATGTTTTTTTGTCTTTGTATTAGAGGCTGGCAGACATTAATTAACTTTGCTAATCCACTGAATTTTTAGAATTGCATGTCACGATATACACACTAGATGCAACTTTTGTCTATAACCAAAAGAAATACAGTTTATTTCCATTTTATATTTTCAGTTTTATTTTGCAACCGATTGGCAATATTTATGAATTCTCATCTTTCAGGTCAAGTTATGATTGACAAAAATCCAGGAATCACCTCAGCAGTAAATAAAATCAATAACATTGATAATACGTACCGAAATTTCCAAATGGAAGTGCTGTCTGGAGAGGAGAACATGATGACCAAGGTATGGAATATCTTATTGTCTCCTAGGTACAGATTATATCAAGATTAATGTTTAGAACCAGAATAGATGTCAAAGATTAAAAGTTTATAATAACCCAATATTGATGAGTATGTGAGAATGTGAGCATTTATATATCCTTTTGATGGAAGTGCAAATTTGATACAAATATTCAGGAAGAGTATATGGTAAAAATTGCCATTTTGAATAGGTACCTCCTTTGACCTAGGATTCCATTTACGGGAAGTTATCTCAAGGATATGATTGGAGAAAATTGTAGTGATGTGTATGTACCAGGTTCTACAAAGGAATAGAAACAACCTAAATGTTCATCAGAGAATGATTAAATTTTGGTATAACAACACAATGAAATACCCCATCATTATAGATTACTGAGCTCCACACTTACTAAAATAAATTGCCCAGTGATAGGTTAAGTGACAAAAACACCAGTTGTAGAGTAGTATATATATACATAGCTCCATTTTAACTAAATATGTATGTAAATATGCACATATATCAGAATGTTAACAGTGGGCATATTTTTATTTGATATAGTAGTTACTAGTGACCTTTGTTCTCATTTTTATACTCTTCTACGGAGCACATATTTCTTTTATAAGAAAAACAAAACAAACCTATTTCAAAGAAAAAATATTTTTAATATGTAGGAAGAGACTCCTGGGGTAAACCACTTTCTCATCCTCTACCCCCAAAATCCTCTGAAGTGCTGGATAATATAAACATTTTTTTGATTTAAAAGTCTTAGATAATTATGTGTTAATATTATGTGAAATTTTGTACCCAAGCTAGGAAATAGGTTAACTTCTCTCCATAACTTGATAAAAATTTTAATAACAAAGTCCACTCTTAAGATGTTAGATGTATTTTTGTTGGTTCCAAGTTTTTATTTAAATACTAGTTAGTTAACTAATAGGGTAATATTGGTTTCAGGTGTTGAATTTAGTGATTCATCACTTACAGATAACACTCAGTGCTCATCGCAACAAGTGCCCCCCTTGATGTCCATCACCCATTTAGCTCCCACCCCCCACCTCCCATCCAGCAACCCTCAGTTCTCTATAGTTAAGAGACTTAAGCTCTTATGGTTTGCTTCTTGCTTTTTTTTTTTTTTTTTTTTGCCTTCGTATATGTTCATCTGTTTTGTTTCTTAAATTCTGTATGAGTGAAATTATATGGTATTTGTCTTTCTCTCGCTGACTTCTTTCTCTTAAACAGGACTTTATAAAACCCAGGAGAGTTTATGCAAAATAACTCTTTTTTAAGATTCTGGGCCACATAGATTTAGGTGAATATTTTAAGTATAAAATTATTTCTCCATAATTTAATTGTAACAGAATATTAAAACACCATTTACTACATACTTACTATTAGGCCTGAGCTAATGTTTTAAATATAACAAATCCTTAGAAGCCCACAAGATAATAGTGGTTATTTTGTTTTGTTTTAAATTTATTTATTGTTTAATTTACATGCAAGTTAGTTAGCATATAGTGCAACAATGATTTCAGGAGTAGATTCTTTAATGCCCCTTACCCATTTTTTAGCCCATCCCCTCTCCCAGAGCCCCTACGGCAACCCTCTGTTTGTTCTCTGTTTAAGAGTCTCTTATGTTTTGTCCCTTCCCTGTCTTTTCGCTTCCCCTCCCTAATGTTCATCTGTTTGGTATCTTAAAGTCTTCATATGAGTGACATCATGTGATATTTGTCTTTTTCTAACTGGCTAATTTCACTGAGCATAATACTCTCCAGCTCCATCCACATAGTTGCAAATGGCAAGATTTCTTTCTTTTTGATTGCCAAGTAATACTCCAGTGTGTGTGTGTACACATATATATACACCACATCTTCTTTATCCATTCATCCATCATGGACATTTGGGTTCTTTCCATACTTTGGCTATTGTCGATAGCGCTGCTATAAACATTGGGGTGCGTGTACCCCTTCGAAACAGCGCATCTGTATCCCTTGGGTAAATATAATGGTGGTTGTTTCTAATATTCTCTTTATGCAGATAAAGTAACAAGGAATGACTGAGCTGGATTTCTGGAGCCAGGCTTCTGACTCCAGAGTCCATGCATGATCTTTCCCTGTATAACGTCCACGGCCTACTGCTTGTGTGTATTGTGTGGGGTCTGATCTGGCAAGTAGGATTTGAATGTGAGTGCTTTGCTGGTATCCATGCTTATCTCAGCATACTGATTCTTGTTCTTCATTTGGTACTGCCCTTTAGGATACTTCCTTCTTCTCAGAGATCTAAAAGTTCTCAGAAACTTCTGTAATTTTTTAAATGGCTTCTGATTGATTTCTTAAGTCAACTGAAGTTTGTTCTTAGGATATATTTTATATTTAACATTTATACCATAAAGTAAATGCAAAAAATCAGTATAATTTCTTTTTTTTTTTTTTTTTTTTTTTTATTTTAATTTTTTTTCAACGTTTATTTATTTCTGGGACAGAGAGAGACAGAGCATGAACGGGGGAGGGGCAGAGAGAGAGGGAGACACAGAATCGGAAACAGGCTCCAGGCTCCGAGCCATCAGCCCAGAGCCTGACGCGGGGCTCGAACTCACGGACCGCGAGATCGTGACCTGGCTGAAGTCGGACGCTTAACCGACTGCGCCACCCAGGCGCCCCTATAATTTCTTTACTACAAACAGAATCACATTTAATTTTAGGAGCTCAAGCAGCATAAGTACTTTCTGTGTCTATTGTGAGTAAAAAGATTCCTGAGAGTGAATCGGGCTGAAAGTAATGTTGAGTGGGTTAGGTTGAAAGACAGTATGAGTAAAATCAGAAGGATACTTAAAGTCTAATTTTTTAAAAGTAGTACTATGCTTCACCTTAAAAAGGGGGAGTAGGAAGGATATTTCAGGAAAAGCATCCCAAGACATATTCAGACCTTCCAGGTTATAGATCTAGAGAGTTTTAGTTAGCAGAATAATGAAGGAACATTTCCAACTCTGGAGCCTTAACGTGGCCAGAGCATCTGATGTGGTCGGAAGGAAAACATATTTACACAAATTTGAAAGCAAAATATTCCATGAAGGCAGAATATAGAAGATGTATCTCAGATTTGTAGAACTTAGGAACTTTGGGGCGCCTGGGTGGCGCAGTCGGTTAAGCGTCCGACTTCAGCCAGGTCACGATCTCGCAGTCCTTGAGTTCGAGCCCCGTGTCAGGCTCTGGGCTGATGGCTCAGAGCCTGGAGCCTGTTTCCGATTCTGTGTCTCCCTCTCTCTCTGCCCCTCCTCCGTTCATGCTCTGTCTCTCTCTGTCCCCCAAAAAATAAATAAACGTTGAAAAAAAAAATTTTAAAAAAAAAAAGAACTTAGGAACTTTTCTGGCCTTTTGATTCTTCATCCATTAAAACAAGGGGCTTAAAATGAAGGCTGAGGTCACATTACATGACTGTAATTTTAGTTTTGTTTTCTATTTTCTAACATGCTTATGATCGTTCCCCCCAAAAATGGCACAAAGTCTTAAAATTTTAAATTTCAAGACTTAGCTTCACTAAATATATTTAGTTTAATCCATGAAAACTCAAATTTGGGAAAAGAGAAAGTAGGGGAAGGATTTGTTCTATACACTGGCTAAAATTTGTAGATATGAACCTTGCAAAATCCAAGTAACTGTCTAAAAACATAGTAAAATACCTCAAAATCCAATGTGTACATGGCACGTCTTTTCTTTCCCAAGATTTTTTTTAATGTTTTTTATTTATTTCAAGAGAGAGAACGTGCACACACAAGCTGGGGAAGGGCAGAGAGAGAGGGAGAAAGAGAACCCCAAGCAGGCTTCATGCTGCCAGTGCGGAGCCCAGCGCAGGGCTCGATCTCACGAACCGTGAGGTTGTGACCTGAGCTGAGATCAAGAGTTGGATGCTTAACTGATTGAGCCACACAGGTGCCCCAGTACAAGATACATCTGTCATGCCTCCCTCTTACAAACTGAAAATTAAGGAAGCTTATTTGCTGAGGGGAATGCTGTCTGCAACTTCAGTTAGTCCTCATGAAGATATGTGTTGTGTTGTTTCAAATTATAGGTTTATTTCCCTCTCTGTCAGGTGACAAAATAGAGTAGGATTAAGCCAGTCAATTGGCCTGTCTGAAAAATGCCTTATGTGATTTGGGAACCACTTTATGACCGGGTAGAATGAGACGGAGAGTCATTTGGCTTTAAAGAGAGGACTTTTCTTAGGTCAAAGTCTAATGCGGGGTGTTAACTGGCTTCAAGAATAGCATAAACACCAGAATTCTAATTAAAATGCAGTTATTTGCTCCTAAATTTAAATGTGTGGGCATACCCATCCAGTGTCCATGGCTGGAATTTAAAACTAAACAGGTTAACCAAGGTATGATACCTTTTTCAGGTTCGAGAAAACGGCTACACCTATGAATTTGATTTTTCGAAAGTCTATTGGAATCCTCGTCTCTCTACAGAACACAGTCGTATCACAGAACTTCTCAAATCTGGAGATGTGCTATTTGATGTTTTTGCTGGGGTTGGGCCTTTTGCCATTCCAGTAGCAAAGAAAAATTGCACTGTATTTGCTAATGATCTCAATCCTGAATCCCATAAATGGCTATTGCACAATTGTAAATTAAACAAAGTGGACCAAAAGGTGAAAGTCTTTAACTTGGATGGGAAAGACTTCCTTCAAGGACCAGTCAGAGAAGAGTTAATGCAGCAGCTGGGACCACTGTCAAAAGAAAGAAAACACTCTGTGCACATTGTCATGAACTTGCCAGCAAAGGCTATTGAATTTCTCAGTGTTTTCAAATTGCTTTTAGATGGGCCGCCATGTGGCATTGAGCTCCTTCCCATAGTGCACTGTTACAGCTTTTCCAAAGACCCTAATCCTGCTAAGGATGTTCAGCAGCGAGCTGGGGCTGTGTTAGGCATTTCCTTGGAGGCATGCAGTTCAGTTCACCTAGTAAGAAATGTAGCCCCTAACAAGGAAATGTTATGTATCACCTTTCGGATTCCTGCTGCTGTGCTCTACAAGAACCAGACCCTAACTCTAGGTGAGCAATTTCTGGGAAATTAAATGTAAACTATAATACTTTTCATGTAGCTTTTAATATTTATTAAATTTGGAAATAGGTTAAACTAATTCTAGTTAGATATTTCGGTTCAAGATTCTTTGCCACTCAATTGTGACTGGTTTCTCGCAATTTTACGAATTTTAGTATGACATACACACTATTCAGTCTAGCAGAAGGTTATTTCATTATAATAATAAATCTGCAGTCATGTTACTATTTTATGTATGCGTTGAGTATTCAGAATCTTTAAAATGCCTATATTGTTTGCTTTTTAAAGGTATTTTCCAATGTTAAGTCTCTTACCTAATAACGGGTTTTTTGGCTTTGTTGCAGAGAATCAGGACGACCCACCTCTTAAACGCCAGAAGACAGATAAAGTCTTTTCAGAAGAAAAAACTCAAATTGCTTCAGTCACTTCATTGGAAATGTCTTCTCCATCTCCCCATTAGACCTTTATGTAATAAAATATAATGACTTCATAAAATTTTAGCATTCATTTTAGTACTGAACACTTATATTTTACCCTTGCTGTTACAAGTTATCAAATTAAAATTTAAATAAGTCTATTTTATCTAAGTGATAATAATTAGATTATAATCTTATAATCTAAATTATGTCTAATTTTGTATTAGATACATATATTTAAATATTGACTGTCTCCTGGGAAAATAGTTTTTGAAGGTGGGATAATTGCCTGCTAACAATCACTTTGCAGTGATCCCCAGTTGGAGAGTATGCCTAAATTTTATATAAGTACCCCTAAACTAGTAATAAAAAATGAAATTATTTAGATCAGGAATGGTAAACCATGCCTGACAAGCCAAATCTAGCCTACCACCTGTTTTTGTACGGCAAATAAATGACCTGAGAATGGTTCTTATACTAACGGTCGAAAAAGAATTTTAGAAATCTTGTGACATGAAAATTGTATGAAATTTGAATTTCAGTGTCCATAAATACAGTTTTATTGGAATACATCATGCTCGTTTGTTTACATGCTGTCTGTGGCTGCTTTTATGGTATTAAAGCAGAGTTGAGTAGTTTACAACACGGACAGGAAGTGATTCTCCTCAGTTCTTACTGCTGCTCAGCACACGGCACATCGCAGTGACGTGGTTGTACCTCAACAGCATCTTGAATACCATATAAATCACCAAGCTTTAAATACATTATTATTACTAGTGTATAGCCATCCTTTCAAAACAAGAAAACTGGACTTCTAATGTGCTTTGAAGGCACAGTGGAGTGTCAATTATTTTGATAATTAATTAGATAACAAAGAATCTATACCTGAGCTAAAATACAATATATGTTGACATTACCAATAGAAGCATTCATCTAGTATTTCACTCACAGGCAAGCAACTGTCAGAAAAACTAGAACTTTAATCTAGAAATATCTCAAATGAGCAGAACTTCTTCACAAAATAAAAAATGAAAATGAGGGTGCAACTGAAATAAGTCTCTAAGGGACTCTCGTAACCCCATCAAGGAAAGCCATTTACTGATGGCGAGTTAATTGTATTTGAGTGCAGCAGCCAAAGAAATGTATCCAGGGAAAGTAAAATTGTTTGAGATTGTTTGTTGGCCTTTTGGAAAAAACAGTTGCTCAAAAAGTTTGGGACACTGGGAACAAAATCAAGTCAATTAAAAAGGTAAATGAGTCTGATTCTTGATGAGTTGATAGATGTTACTACTACTGCTCAGGTCTTATTTATTTGAGACATCAGTGCTGAGTTTGAAGTTGCTGAAGAATTAAGCTTCTATGAATACTCTGCACGGAACAACTATGGGTGAGTATTTTTAAAGAAGTTGAGAAAACAATTCTTTACAACCTGAAGTGGAATCTGCTATGATGTGTTACACCTGATGGTGGTAAAAGATACGTGAAGTAGAAAAAGACCTGAGCCTGGGTGGCTCAGTCAGTTGTGTCCAACTTGGGCTTAGGTCACAATCTCACAGTTTGAGTTCGAGCCCCGCGTCGGGCTCTGTGCTGATGGCTCAGAGCCTGGAGCCTGCTTCACATTCTGTGTCTGTCTCCCTCTCGCTTTGCCTCTCCCCCACTCATGCTCTGACTCTCTCAAAAATAAACAAACATATAAAAAAAAAAAAAAAAGACCTAGTTGGGAGAAATATACAGAGCTTGGTAAAACCTGTGGTTATTCACTCCTTTCTTCACCAGCAAGTTCCCTGCAGAAGATATTTGAACCTGCCATGTGTTACTGAACTAGTGGTGTCAATACTAAGTTTCATTTGCTTTCATGGCTCCTAACCACCCTCAAGTCCTTTAATTTTTGTCAGAAATTGAACTTGAATCTGAATCTGGCTTGTTCCACATGAGTTTGATTTGCTTAGTAATTGTCAAGTTTGATTGCGATTTTTCTTTTTCTTTTAAAAGAAAAAAATTTTTTAACGTTTATTTATTTTTGAGACAGAGAGAGACAGAGCATGAACAGGGGACGGTCAGAGAGGGAGACACAGAATCTGAAACAGGCTCCGGGCTCTGAGCTGTGAGCACAGAGCCCGACGTGGGGCTTGAACTCACGGACCGCGAGATCATGACCTGAGCCGAAGTTGACCCCTTAAACGACTGAGCCACCCAGGTGCCCCTGATTGCAATTTTTCGAGTTCAAGGTCAAGACTGAAATTTTTCTTAACAAGAGGAACCACTCTTAAACATTATTCTAGAACACTGAATGGCTCTGGAAATTCATTATTAGCTTTTGCTAATGACTTGATAATATTTCTTAAAGGTTTTAACCTATAATTATAAAGCAAACAACTTTAATGTGAAACTGCGGTAGTCATTTCAACAGACATTTGAATCACAGTACCTTTTGTTCCACATTTCTCATGCTGTCAAAAACTAAAACAAACAAGATTTCCACTTTCAAATTAGCAGTAGAGATATTTTCTGTGTTCAGCATTTTTTCAGACCTTGGCAAAAATGCAAAGGAAATTTACATATTTCAAAATCTATTTACCATAATTGAGCTTCTACCTAATGTTCAATTGGAAGTGATTAATGTGCTATGTAATGACATGCTAAAAGGCAGGTATCAAGGGAAGAATCTAATAGAGTTCTACAAATACCTTCCAAGTGATGAATATACCCAATTAAAATCGTATGCTTCTGGATTGGTGCCAGTATTTGGTAGTATATATCTATGTAAAAAAAGACATTTTTAAATCTCATCACAGATAACTATATAACAGGTAATCATTTACAACTGATTTTGATAGGAAATATTTAGAACCCCAATTAAAGGAACAAGGAGCTCTTCTTGAGCTACAATGTAATTAGACACACTCAATTATATTTTGAATTTTGTTCATTAAAAACAGTGTGCTAACTTATTTTATCACAAAGCCTAAAATATTTACTGTCTGGCCTTACAGAAGGGTTTGAGGACCACTCATCTAAATCACTGATTACAAACTCAGATGCCTTCAGAAGCAAGTAGGTAATATAAACAGGTGAAGGCGATAAATGGTAAAAAGTGTAGGAAAGTAATGAATTAGAGCCCTCATCCCTTATCTAAAGACACTGAAAATTGATTCTGAAAATCAACCAAAACTATCCTCTGCAAGACCTTGGGGGTTAATTCAGTTTGGGACTTCTAATTTTCTTCCCTCCCCTCCAAATGAGGAGTGTGTAGGTCATGGGTCAGTATGCTTCCTGTTATGAACCAGATAGTATTTTAGGTTTTGCAAGCCATAAGGTCTGTGTTGCTGCTCAACTCCATCATAGTAGTACCCCAGGGCAGCCATGGACAATACATGCACTATATGCCAAAACAACTTTCATTTATGGACAGTGAAATCTGAATTTTTTATGCTTTTTACTTGTTAAAAAGTATGTATTTTGGCTTTTTTCAACCTTAAGAAATGTAGACAATTCTAGCTCATGGAACATACAGAAACAGGCACCAGCTGGATTTGGCCAGGGGTCCATAGTTGGCCCTCTGCTCTAGGTGAAGAGAATTTTAATTTGCAAGTAGGAATGGGATTTTTTTTTCCTAGTATTGTACATTGACATACTAGGTTGTAAATACTAATTATGGGTACAAATGATGTTCTTATTCATACATGTAAAGTGGTAAGATTCTTGCCTCTATTTAGTCACCCCTTAGACAAAATATGCAGTATATAATTGTAAAGGAAATGGAATCCTTAAAAGCCTCTATTAACATTTTAACCCCTCCCCCCTTTTCCCTCAGAGTGGATAAGTGAATGTACAATTATTTCATTATTTAAATTTAGGCCCATCCTGAAGTTTTTTTTTAATTTTTTTTTTCAACGTTTATTTATTTTTGGGACAGAGAGAGACAGAGCATGAACGGGGGAGGGGCAGAGAGAGAGGGAGACACAGAATCGGAAACAGGCTCCAGGCTCTGGGCCATCAGCTCAGAGCCCGACGCGGGGCTCGAACTCACGGACTGCGAGATCGTGACCTGGCTGAAGTCGGACGCTTAACCGACTGCGCCACCCAGGCGCCCCCCCATCCTAAAGTTTTTAATGGGATACCTGGTAACTGAACTCTTGATGTCCACTAGAAAATGACAGGTGGAAAGCTCAGTAGATCCATCTTTTTAAAATTTTTCCCCCACATTTATTTATTTTTGAGAGAAAGAGAGAGCATGAGTGAGGGAGGGGCAGTAAGAGAGAGAGACAGAATCGGAAACAGGCTCCATGCTCCGAACTGTCAGCACAGAGCCCAACACGGGGCTTGAACTCACAAACTGAGATCATGACCTGAGCCGAAGTTGGACACTTAACTGACAGCCACCCAGATGCCCATACAATTGTTCAACTTTGTTAGCCTTTTGACAAGTTTTTCTGCCACCTTAATTGGATTTTGAAATGATCACCTGACCACCAGTTGACAGCCTAAAGATAACATCTAAGAGAATTAGATCAAATATTTATTAAATGAAATTAAATACTAATAGTGCATCCCGACCATGATGTAAACCATATTCAATACCATTAATATCTGCTTCCCAAAGGAAGGTAGTTAATAGTCAAATCATGTTCTACATAATGAATTTCTCCCAAGGATATAAACAAGGTTATTAAGTTGATGTCATTTATATACCATAAAATAACTAGACACTTCATCTTTAAAACTTCCTGGAAGTCTTAGGAAGTTTGACTACTCAAACTTGATTCTACACAGCTGTTGTTTATAAGCTTGGCAGTTTGACAGTCATCTCTGGAGCATGGACTTCTGACCACTTGGGTTCAAATCCACTGTGCTACTTTTAAGTTGTATTGACCTTTGGCAAGTTAGTTAACCTCCCTATGCCTTGGCTTCTCCATATGTTAAAATGGGTACAATAATACTAGCAGTGTAAAGACTAGATGATAATACACAGTGCATGAAATGCAGTGCTTGGGGCATAGGTATCGCTCAGTAGTTGCTAGCTATTGTTTCTGTGCTAGTGTTGTACAATGTTAAAAGACTTAATTCATGTAGAAGAAAGATTTGTACAGCATTTTGTCTCTGAAAGAGGAAATCACTAGGAAGATAGGGGATAACCTCATTAATTCAGAATATTTGTTATTTAGTGAATTGTCAATAAGTTACCTTTCACCATTCCCTTTGATCTAATAGGGTTAGTTAGCAACTTCTTATTTGGCCTATTGAACAAGGTATGGCAATAGTAAGGGCAAAATATTTACAAATATATAAAGGTTTTGGAATTCAATTTATTTGCCAAATCAGATGCAGGCAATTTCTACAATAAGGTAGGTTTGAAAAAAGTTTCGAAAGCCTTTGAACTGTTCTATTAATTAGTTCATTTAAATACATTATACAAGGCACTAAGAACAAGTAATAGTGTTTCTTTTGTGAAGACTGGATACTGTAATTTGGCAGCTGAGTACAGCAAAGCCTTAACCGTAAGCCCAATGTTCTCACTATTCTTTGAACAGATTTATAGACTGTACTTAAAACCCTAATCCTCATTTGGAGAATGCTGATAGATATGAAAATCAGGATGCAGCCTGATAGAGTATAGATAGGAATAGACTTTAAAAAAAGGTTTCAATTCTAGCTTTTTATTAACTTGTTTATATTATCTTAGCCTACTCAATTATTTGATGCCTTGGTTTTCTGTTATCAAAGATAGTTAGAACTACAGTTGACCCTTGAACAACACAGGAGTTGGGGCACTGTTACCCAGCCCCTGATACACACATTGGAAAATCCACATATAACTTCTGACTCCCCCCAAAACTTAACTATTAATAGCCTACTGTTGACCAGAAGCCATAACAAACATAACAGTCAATTATACATATTTTGTATATGTTTTATACGCTATATTCTTACAATAAAGTAAGCTTAGAGAAAAGAAAATGTTAAGAAAATCATAAGGAAGAAAAAATACTTTTACAGTACTGTACAAAAAAAATCCACATATAAATGGATCCATATAGTTTAAACTTCTTCCAGGGTCTATTGTAAAGATAAAGATATACCTCTATAATTAATATTTTGACCTGCTTAGTCAAATAAGATGGAGTTGTTACATAAGGATATTCCACCCTAATGTAACCACAAATCTTGTTTCACATAACTTTCCTCCCATGAAATTAACATCTGTTGTGATGGACATTTGATAGGAAATCCCTTAATTTCCTTGAGAAAGTATGTCCCGTACCCAGTGGTCTATGTAACAGACTCGTGTAAGGTTGAGATGCTACAAATATCTGTCCTGTCCACATCCAACTCTAAGCAAAATCCTGGGTATACCAAAAGCCTTTGAAGTTTCAACAGAAACTATATCAGAGTCTGCAATTTACTCTGGGAAATTTCATTTAAAATGTATCCATTCCAGTCTCCAAGGTTTCATCATAAAATGAGCTCACATTTGAAGTGAAAGGTGCCATTTAGGTATTAAATTTTATTAACTTATTTCTTTGAATTTGTCATTAAAGCAGGTTAATACTCTCATCTGGTTTATCCTAAGTGTGGCTCACAGCTGGGAACTATAATACCTTGATCGAGGTTGTCTCACTTTCCACTGCTCAAAACAGGCACTGAGTCCTTAAAATTGAGAGAACGGCATTATCATAGGTCAAGTTTTACTTGCCACAACCTGCTGGTAGAAGGAAATATATCCACTTGTCTGGACTAGTATTAAGAACATTGGGGGAGGGGGGAAGGAACATTTTATGAGAAGAAATAATAGACTTGGATATTAACACTAAATGTCGTATTCAAAATGGCATTTTAAAATGTGTTCAAGTAAAACACTGTAATAAGAGAAAAACCACAAAACTTAATATAAAGTCTAGCTTTATTTTTAAAAAGATTTTACAAGTCTGTCAACCTCAAGCATACATAGGTGAATTATTCATATCTTCCATCAGATGAAGTTTACAGCTTCAATCCCTCTCAGAAAAATAGAAGTAAAAAATAAATCTTTTTCACATATATTTGTCCACTATATTACTCAGCTTAGTTCTGAAATTTTCTCTTATAAATACTTTAACACAGCTGCTAATGTGGTGGGACTGTTGTGGTGCAGCTGCATTTGGCTATACTTTTACAAGTCTGCTTTACTTTTGCTAGTTCCCTGGTTCGGCTCCAAGGTCCAAATCTTATAAAGAAGAAATAAAGGTTAACTGGGCTGCCAGAAAAGCCCACTGAATGCATCCTGTAGCGCCCTGTGACAAGCCAGAGAAGAAGTATAGCCTCCAGCGAGATCCTGTGGAGAGGCAGCTCTGACGTGGTTTAAATACCTAAAACAAAACGAAAAGTGTAGCATTGATATAGAAAGCATATATAAATTGGTAAGATTTTTAAAAGCAATAGTAAAACTGATGCAAATTTTAAAGAGGAATTCTGAGACTGAAATGTTCAGACATTCTAAATGCATTACTATTTTTTAAAAGGAAACTCACCAACTATATATAGAGAGCGCCTAAACTCGTTTAATTGTTGAGTTTATTGTAAAGCAAATTACATTAAGATCTTAAAACAGCTCTCAAGGAGGTTTCAAAAATAATACTGGCGATTAAAATGCCCACTGTTCCCAATTTTTAAATGTTTACTTATTTACTTTGAAAGAGAGAGCACGCACAGGGGAGGGGCAGAGAGAGGGTGGGAGAGAGAGTCCCAAGCAGGCTCAGGGTGACAGCGCAGAGCCCGATGACACCGGGCTGGATCTCAGGGACCCTGTGAGATGATGACCTGAGCCAAAAATCAAGAGTCAGGTGCTTAGAGGACAGAGCCACCCAGGCATCCTTCACTGTTCCCAATTTTTAGAAATTACTTGTCTTGTTGGCTATTGTTTGGGTACCTCACTGCTATTCTCCTTCTGACATACTCTTAATAAATAAATACATAGTATCATAATACTATTGTATTAATATTTTGCATAAATATTGAATGTTTTGCATAAATGTATTCTGAAACAAATACTTAAATGAAGGAGGGTTGAAAAATATACTAGTTACTTCAAATTTACTTCAGTATTACAAAAATATATTGTCTCCTTCCTCACATGAGAAATCTCTGAAAGCCTGATTTCAACAGAATGTCCCAATTAGTAAATAAAGAAGTCTTTTGAACTGTCTCAAAAGACAGTGTAACAGAAACCACTTTTCTCCAATCATACGTATATTATTTAGCAATTAAAACTCTCTACCTTGGTAAAGGTAGACAAACAAGCCTAAAATATGGGACAATCCTAGACAAAGAAGGTCAACTTGTTAGCATGACTAACAGCATCGTTGGAAAACAAATATTTCCAGCTTTGCTTTAATGCCTAGTTTAAGAAACCACATTGTTTCTTCAGGCCTCAGGAAGTAAAGGAGCTTCACCCACCTTAGAATTACGGGTATGGCAAATGAATAAATCAGGTACCAGAACATTTTAATAACTTGGAAACTTTTCTACTCATTCATTCAAACTTCCTGTGTGTCAAAGTCTTGATGCATGAGCAACTTATTATTTCTAACATAATAACAAGTCTGTTTTTCATTTGTATCCATGTTTAATAAGGTTGTGTGATTAAAAAATATATGGCAATATAAGAGGCCAAAGAGAAAAAGTGGCCAAAGTAAGACGCAACATAAGCTCCTGGAATTGGCTATAATTTATTCACACTACCACAAATCAAGGTGTTAACTCAATTCTTTGCTTCTCTGCCAAGGGTGAAAGGGGAAAGCAGAAGGAGAAAGGTAATATTTACTGAGCAATGATCTACAAACTTTTTGATAGTATATTTATAGCAGTAAAAATATTTGAGCATGCATTTCCAATATTTGTATACTTATTTATAAATTATGTACTTAATGCATTAATATATAGTGAATAATTATATAACATACTAATATAGAAGGATATTATAAAATATGTATGAATATTCAAAGGAGATAAAAATATTTCAACCAAAGTTCTAATATTTTCTCCCTGTATCCATCTTCTGCACGTTGGTGAATGTATCCCACTTTCGAGGCTGTTATTAAACAGTCATTGTCAAACTCCTGATAGAACCTTATGTCCCATGGGATTTAAACAGGGATTCACCCACCAAACCTACCACATGGACAGAAGAAATATCTGCTTATTTCACCCCAGGACACAATAAAATGTCCACTGTTAAGACTGTGATGCATCAGAAATGATGTAAATTAGGTAAGTCACCTCAGAAGTCTAAAAATCAACCTGGAACAGCATAAAATCCATTTCTCTCCACAGAGATCTCAAAAACCATCACACAAATAAGTAATATTTTTACAAGTATCTTGGAAATGAAATGTTCCGTTCCTGATACAAGTTTCAGGTAAGTTTTATCCATATCCCAGACACTACTGTATTAACCTTCCTTTCCTCAGACCCTCGAAAGAAAAGGACAGTCTTCGATCCAGTGGCTGTTCTCTCCTGGCAAAATTCAGGTACCACCGGAGAATGTCTGTCAACCTTAAGAAGCCAACTATCATGAAGAGAATTGGTTTTCATAGCTGTAATAGAAACCGCTGTGCAACTAGTTGTTTTGATTCATCACATTTTGGTACAACTTGCTTCTGGGAAAGTTGAGTCATACCATTTCTGGCTTGGCAATTCAAGCATAAACTTGAAGTGTACATACAGCTTTTTATATGTTATCCTGAGAAACCTGAAACAGCTGCACTGCTGGCAGGAAAACACAGGACCACCAGTAAAATATCCAAAACAGTTGCATCTTTTAATTTATGACTGTGCACTGTTTCCATAAAGAGTATATAAAACAGTTCAACATTTTATAGGTAAAATGTAATAAACAGTCATACTCATTGATGCCATAAATGTGTAAAAAAAGTTTATTTAAAATGATTAATTAGTGTTCGAAAATAGGATTTCTTGAACAGTCATAATCCAGAGCAATGAACAAACATTTTAAAATTTTAGTTATTAATGCTAAGTTGTAGATTCTTACTGCCAAAATCAAGTCAATTAAAATTTCTTTGCATAGCACTGAAGAAAATACACTTCCCTTCTAGCAATCATTTACATTAAACATGTCTGTGAGTATAGTTCTTTAAAGACCTGGTTATTTACATTACTGTTTTTGATCTCTAGGGCTACACAAAATAGTTACTGTTAAATATTTCAATCTATTTTCACCATGGCAACTTACATTAATTCCAATTTTAAAAAAAAAAAAACCATAATTCATTCTTGGTACTCAACTGTGGGCTTTTATTTTCTAGGTATTTTAACTTAATGTTCTTAAACCCTTTAATTATTGTGGTACACCAAAGTATTGTAAAGGATCTGACACGCTGAAACCACACAATGCGAATTTAGCATTTTGCCTGCTTTTTCACATTAATCCCCATCTGTGTTGTTTTAATTCTTTCATGACCATTACAAGTACATCACTGAATAGGATTCCTGGGGTTTCTGGCAAAGGTCAGTATCATTTCATGTACACCTTTATATAACAGAATGAGGAAGAAGTCTTAGCCAAATTTATTTCTAAAAGTCAAGCTCAGTTGGAGTTTGGAGCCTGGAGGTAATTGCTCTGACTATTTAGCCAATCCCAGGACAGTATTTCTGTTTTTCATGGGTTTATTTTAAATACCTGTAAATCTTATAAGCAGAAACCAGGAAAGAAAAAAAGAGGTTTGCTTACTTTGGTATCTATACCTTATTTTTACTGAAAGCAGACTAAACTCAAAGCTTTAAAAATCATACCTTTGATTATTTTCTTAATAAGACTAAAAAAAAGTATGCTTTCAAAAGCATGTCTAAGATAATTCCTGTACAAAGGGCATCTTGTGCCCTAATTTATACTGTGTCTAAAGTTGCTTTCCTTTGCCATTACCCATCAAAATCCCTTTCAAACAGACTTTGGAGGAGGGGGAGGAAAAGGAGGCAGTGGATCCTGTGAGAGGAGTAAGAAAGGATTAAGCATTCAAAAACCACACTTGAAAGTTTGTTCCTGAACTTTGATTTCCTACACTGTCATTTTCTTCTGTTACATTTAGCAGCTTCTACTCCCAAAGAAGGTGGTATAATTTACACTTAGCTTCAGAAAGACTTCATTTACTCAGTCCTTTAACATAAGAGAGTTCCTCTGAGATTACTCTTTTACTATTTCCCTTCCTTTAAAAGCCCTATATCGACCATCTGGCTAAAGTCTTGGACTCAGCTCATTTTAGTGCTATTCAACAATGCTTTGAGTCCTCAGCTAGGGGCAGAGGGCAGGGGCTGTCACTCAAGACCGAGAGGCAGCACTCTTCCCCTCCAGTCATAACCTCCTCATGAAAACCCTTGAAACACTTTGGCTCTAGAGAATCAAAGAATCTTGAAATTTAAATTGAAATTAAAATGTGAAGTTCATATTAGTTTCCTTTACCTCAAATTACCAGGCCCAATGGGCAGTTAAAAAAAAGAAAAGTCCAAGTTTTTAACTCTATAGTGTTTCCCTTTCCTAAGAAAGGGGGTGAACTCTAGAGCCTAAGACCTTCTTTTCACAAGTGGGCCCATTTGTAAACCTGAATTTAAAGGCACTGTGCATCAAACAGACCAGTTCCAAGTATTTCTGCCTCCCAGCCTACAAAATTCAAATCTAAGTGCCATTAAGAGACATTAACCAGCTGATCTCAGCTGTCGAGACCAAGAGCTCTTATAAGAAATTCAGCCAAGGCTATAAAAGATTTACATGAACAACCTGAAGTCTATCTCAATAGGTTTAAAAACAATCAGAGCAATAGTGTACTCAATTATCACTAAAAAGCAGCAACATTCTGAAAACTGAAATTAGTGCTTAGGTGCCCTAACCCAACCATGATGTCAGAATAACAGACAAACTGTCTACACAGGGAAACTGACAATCATATATTCTAACATAAATGAGGAAAGCAATCCAAGTCAGAACTACTGTCCATAATTCTGAGGGCAGTTTGATTATAAAAACACAAAGCTTCATGAACTCCAACCAAAATATAACAAACTTCCATAATCATGATAGTACTCTTCACTTCATTATCTAACCTGCATGTGAGAACACAAATTGAATAAACTAACTATTAAAGCTATTTTCAAATTTATACTATACACTTAGAAATCTAGTAACCAATTCATCCCAGACATTGAGACCATCTGAACAGCAAAGCTCAGATTTAGAAATTAAAAGCCACATGGTGCCCAAGTGTACAGCTGAATACAGATTGCTCAAATAAGCCTTTCTGAATTATAACTAAAAGTAAAGTGTGCAATTTAATGCTATCAAATAACACACTAGGCATTT